GGGGGCAATCAAAACAATAAGTTATTGCTTTTTATGATACAAAATCAAAGTTGCGAATCCCTACCTTTAAAAGGCACTTACAAAGTTAGCTGCCTTTCCACAGGCACTTATGTTTAAGTACTGAATAGGACCTTTCACACCTTTGGCTGGCTAATAACTTCGTATGAGTTCCATTCAGGTTTAATGTCTCTGGAAAGGCACGAAACTTTAGTGCCCCGTGAAAGGCACTTAACTGCGCCCTTGACTTTTGTGCCCCAGGCAAGGTATGTATGTATGGTGCCTTTGTTTTACAATAAAAATTTCACGTACCCACCTCAAACCGTTTTAGAGTTATCGTGAGGACAAGCACACAGACAGACGCAAAACATTTTTAACACTGGAGCAATAGGCTTTGATAATCGCTTAGCAAATAACTAAGAAGAGTTAGGGAAAAATTGCAAACCTTTACGAGGCACCCCTTAGTAGGTTAAGCCGAAAGAACACTTTTGTCCGTCACGAAAACGCTTGGGTGCGGAAAATTGTCCCTGACACATGCGAAAAAATATGGCGTTGGAAATTTTCAAATCGGTCAGCATCCTCTCGATGGGTCCTAAGAACGTTGTCCGATCTCGCAGTGACGCTTCAACATTGTTTGATCTCGCAGGGACGCTTCAACGTTGTTTGATCTCGCAGTGACGCTTCAACACTGTTAGAAAAAATCCTGGGATTTCACGGAGGAACACTCGTGAAAAGTGTTGCCAAAGTCCTTTGGGATTTCCCAAAGAACTCTGTAGATTTCACGTGTCAAGTTTAGCTTTGAAACATATAAACAAATGAAAACTTTCACCTTCAACATCTGTTTAAGTACACAAAAACTAAGAACGGAGTCCTCTGGGAATTTCTAATAGTGCTGGAAAGTGAATCTTCGGGAAATCCCAAGAAATTTTTAACGGTGAACAAAGTCCGATCTCCTTTTGACGTTCTCTGCAGCGCCATCTTCTTTTAATTGCGAGTTGAATAATATTGGCAGTAGAGAAAAGGTAAAAACATCAATGTCGTCCTTATTCTTTTAAGAACACATCGCAATTTTTACTTTTTCTCTACTGCCAATAATATTCAACTCGCAATGGAAAGAAGACGGCGCCGCAGAGAACGTCAAAAGGTGATCGGACTTTGTTGAAGCGTCACTGCGAGATCAAACTTTGTTGAAGCGTCACTGCGAGATCAAACATTGTTGAAGCGTCACTGCGAGATCGGACAACGTTCTTAGGACCCATCGCTCTGCCCGTTTAATACGCTGAAATTATCCTTAGAAGACTAAAGTTTAGGGCTTTGCAAAAATGAACTTCAAATCATTTGTTGTGTGTTCAGAGGGTGCCAATATGATGAAAAGTCATCATAAGGCACCCCAGGGCCCAAATCAGGCTGCGAAAGTTATTACCCCCAGCCTAGCCAAACCACTAATGACGGGGGAAAGACTTAAATAGCGTTTTTTTTTCTGGGGAAACGTTGTACAGCTCTTTGCTCATCATAAGGGAAAGCGTAAGCAATATTTCTCGATGTTGGTGTTGGCTCTGGTTGCGTAAAGCAGCTATAAGACTTTTTTTATATAAAAACAATATCTTGTTCGGACTACATTTTTGGCCTCTCATATGTCCTCAAAGATCCGGGAAACGCCTCAATTCAGCGAAAGCTAGGCAACTCGCAACATGCTCATTGGAGGAGCTCAGCTACTTCTGGGGCTACTTCAGGTGGCATCAAAAGTTAGTCTAAACATCAATTGGTGACCCTCGACCCCATCAGTGGATCCGCGAAGCCTACATTCTCCCTGACTGTAGGCAATCAGCATGGCGCGCAGAAGGCAATTTGAAAGAAGTGTGAAAACTTTAATTTAAGCAACGTTAGAGGAAGAAAGGCTGATGTTCAAAGTCGGTCGTGGATTTGATGCAGGAGTGATATTTAAAAATCCCCGCCGGCCCGATCAATTTCAGGACTAGCCGTAAACGTATGTTATTCTGCGTCGTCTTCAAAGTACCTCTGAAGGTTAGCGGCGACGTATTTTCATTTATTTTTCCGGAAAACCAGACTCGAGCGCCAATAAATTGAAAAAGATCCCGATTATACTCAATAAGCCCTTTCCAATGGTCAATGGTACAGAAGAGTGAGTCGTCGGCTCTGAATCACTGTTCTATACTATTACCGAAAAGACTGTAACGGTGCGACACCGATACTACACCCAACCCTTCTGCTTTGATGAGGAAAATACAAAATAACAATCGCAGTTTTCAGCTTGAATTGTTTTTCAAACAGTTCTAAAACTGGACTTTTTGCCATTGTTTTAAGTATATCGACCTCCGGCTCTGAAACGATTGAAGACACGACATTCCAAGGACTGATTCTGATTCAGAATGTGCTGTTTCGGATGACTTCCTCTGTCATTTTTCGATTTGAGGCCTTATTGTACGCCTTTCTGAACAACGTGGTCATTTTTGGCGTATATTTGTCGAAAAAGCATCTCAAGCGCCCAAACGGTGGAAGATACAGGGTGGGTGATCCGCGCCGTGGTTTTGTTCTGCTTATACTGTACCGCATTCATGCGTGCGGACGGGTTGCATACTCGCACGGGGCCGTAAGGCGCCATGGCGAGCGACGATAGGCAAGCCCGCCCGCACGCGTGAATCCGGTACAGCATAAGCAGAAAAAAACCACGGCGCCGATCACCCACCCTGTATAGGCGAAACGGACAAAATTTCAGAGCAAAGGGTTCTACTTTTACGAGTTCCGAGTTATCCCTTAGGAGATTCTGAAAAATATATTGTTTTGGACTTTTTTGGCCTCCCCCTCTTTCTTTCATGCCCCCTTTCAGCCCCTTTGGTTGCCAGGATTTTCCGTAGACGTTTCGTTTTCTAGACGTGAACCTAAATATACCCTGAAAATTTCAAGTCTCCAGCACATATCCTTCTAGTGGAACAGACAGACACACAGACAGACACGAGGTCGTTTGCATGAGCCCGCTGGATAGCTTTTTCATAGGAGAAGGGTGGGCTAAAAACACATTTTTTACAAAAAACAAATTTGGGGCTGTTAATTTTTTATTTTTATGAAACGTCAATTTTTGAGCTAGAGGGCTATACAGTTCTTGCTTTTTATGATACGATACACACGCGAAACTTTTTGATCACTGGGCTTCGCTAATCGATCAGCCAAAAACGGTTCTGGGAAGAATAGGGTATTCCAGGCTACCTAAAACGGAAGTAGGAAAAGAACAACCTGACTTTTCTGTTTCCGTAATGGCTCTGATTGGTCGAGCTGATCACGTGCCACGACAGCCTTTGAGATATGGGAAATTGTCAGATCAGTTTCGAGCCTCCTCCATATTTAAGAGGTTAGAATCGAACCAAACTGCAATGGTAATTTCTCATACTAAGTAGACGGAAACAGAAATCAGTGAGTTTGTTCTTTTTCACTTCCGTTTTAGATAGCCTTGAACACCCTATTTGTTACGGTTTGGTGCCAGAAAACGGAAAAGGCCGAGGAGTCACTTAAGTATACAACTAGGTGAGTGTACGCCAGGCCAGACTACGTCTCGCGAAACAGGCTTCGCGATATCTTACGAAACACTATTACCTACTCTGCTCCGCACCTGGCATACATCACATCACCTAGGCTAGGCCTGCGGCGCTGGCAGCAGAATCAGAGGAAAGGCACAGTCGTAAATAGGCCTTCGGCCCCAAAAGTCACAAATTTTGTTCCTCGGGGTTTTGTTTTGACGAGTTACCCCACCGGAGACCATCAAATATCTGAGAAAAAACATAAAAATGTTTTGAGGTCATTTTCGTGGCGCCTACACGGTGAAAGATAGAGCCAAACGGATGACATTTTCGCCTAAAGCGCTTGGCTTTGATGAATTAACGTATAGAAACAAGAAACAATACTTTTTTGGGACTTGTGGTTTTTGATTTTTTTTAATCCAATTTTCGATTTAGAATGCTCTTCTTCGAACTCGATTTGTTTTTTTACTTTTTTACGACACCAAACGACCCTGAAAATCCCAGGTAGCTACCTCAATTCTCGAGTTATCGTGATGACGAATAAACAGACACACACATAGACAGACAGACGTAGACGCGAAACTTTTTGATCATCAGTGCTGTAATAGGCTTCGCTCACCGCTTAGCCAACCAGTGAATCAGGTAATGTTCCAAAGGGTCCGGGAAGGACATCGGAAATGAAATCAACATACTCAAAAACTTCCAGTTTCACACATTGGGCCTCCTTCTGGTCTCTTAGTTCTTCTGTGATTCATTGGTCGCTTCCAAGCCCCGCCAGCCTACTGTGCGCAGGCAGCGTTCCCAAATTAACGGTACCCCTTTCAAAATAAAGCGAGGGCAGAGCGAGCACGTAGGCTAGTGCTGCACGAGTGCAGGGAGAATGCGATACAAGAGCACGGAAAACTGTGTCCACCAAAGACAGCCTGGTTCCGCGTAGGCCCACTCAAAACTTAGACGCTTTGTGATCGCATCGTTACTTAGTCTAAGCGTATTTGGGTGATTCTCAGAATACGGGCCATTTGGGAGTTCCTAAAATTTTTATTTTTTTTGTCAAATTTGCTAGGTTTTTGGGTCGCAATGGTCTTATTTACCTTCAAATAAGATACGTGTAAAGTGGCGATAGTTCAAATCACGTACTTTTAGTACAACGTTAAAAGACCATATTGTGGTCACGTTCAATCAATGATAAAACTCAAATATTGCCTCCCGCACCTTTTAATTAGTCTTTTGTTTGCTCCACTAGTGTGTCGTACTCATATTTTACATCCAGTCATCCCCATTTTATGCGTTTTAGTATGACTAGAACATTGCAATAAATAACTTGTTTTTCGCCCCGACACTCCTCCACAGATGCCCAACCTCATAATGTACAGTTCTAAATTAACCCCTTACTACATATTTTCTCATTAAGTCATTACAACGCGTTACCTGTAACTAAAAGTTATTGAACAAAGGTCAGACCTACAAAAGGGGATACGGAGTTCACAAGTCAGAAGGTACTAATTAAAGCATTACTAATCCGGGGTTGCAGATGCAAGGATCCACTTAGCCACAAAAGAAGCAGCACATCAAAACCTTCCTTTTCATCGAAAGGGGGATT